AAAAAAGATAAACTATAAATGGATCTCGACATATCTATTTGCATTACTAAATAATTACTACATTGGTTGATACATATTTTCAGTTAATACTATGCATCTTAACTATCAACTGTTTCAACCAAATTTCATCCCTGAGTTATGTTCTCAACAATTATAAAATAGTTTTTAGCACATTCAATCCTTTGTTTTCTTCTACGAAGAGCTTACTAAGGTTTCTATATAGATTGTTGACCAGGCTGCATTTGTTTGAACGCAGGTGGTCATCGCTTCTCATCCATCCATCTTGACCTTTTTAGATTCAAATTGATTAACTTGTCCTAAAAAAAAGGTTCCCTTAGCTATTTGTAAAATTTGAATGTGAGGCCGAATGTTGATGTTGTATATAATTAATGTTTATCAGTTTGGTCGATACAGAGAGTAAAACACATATTAGTGTTCAAGTTGACGTTAGTTGCGGTAGTTTTGCACCTTTGAAACAACATGGATCCATAGAACACCAACTGGGCAAAACAGGATATGGGGTGCGGTTAGTATTGAAGGCAGAGCTCAAGTGATGGAGCCATCATGGGTTGTCAGGTATGTGAAACTCCCTTTCATAGTATATGATATTATTTTGTGCAGAACTTACTTATATTTCTAATTAATACAATGTCAGATTGAAACACAACTGTGAACTGTAGGTATCTGCCTATCTGAAAGTAATTGAGCTACTTGTTCGGTACATTATTTCCGCTTGAAGACATGTAACATCATGGGGTTTAAGTATGGTGTTGCTCTTGTGGATCTATGCTTTTTTATGGGTTTTGCGATGTGGTATTGTTAAGTCATTGAGCTTTCATAATTTGTTGGTTGAAGCACGAAACAATGCTCCATCTGACATACTAACCTTTAGGTTTGAATTACTAATTAGGTATTTTCTAATTTCTTCCCTCGATCCCTGCTACTATATTCTTAGGTTTCTAGCGGTTAGAAAATAGGCATGGGGAAACTAACAAACTAGGTGCACTCTCACACTTACCTGCTTTGTCCATTTCCTAATTTCTTCCCTCGATCTGAGCATCTCTTCTATACTTCTCCATTGCTCCTTCCTAGTTGTATTGGCTTTGCACATCTATTCTGGTGGTTGACATATATGGCACTATGGTAAGGGGACTGTTGCTCTCTCTATGGCCTACTCTATTACAGGGATATGTCTGTTTGCGACATGTGTTGTTTGTTCATGTGTGCTTGTCATTTGTCTACCAAATGTTGTTGTAGTTATGATACATGTTGCAGTGGTACCTTCTTTTCTATACTACTTCTTGACGTCGTGTAGTGTGTGATGTCATGGCTGGTCCTTTTTTTAGGCATGCCAAAATTACAGGAGGGTAACAAACATTTCAGCGGCACAGTTCAGATTCAGTAAATAAGTCCCTTCTTTTATTGTAAATGGAGGAGAAGAGAGCTCCCCATCATAAAATAAACCAAGCTAAAGTGAACCAAACTATAACTGCATGCGTCAAAATACAGTTTTTAAAATTTGATACACTCATTTTCCTGGCACCAGTAATTTCAAAGTACTTTCATTTCGAGATCTAACTGCAAACTCAAGTTGGTTGTAGATTAGACATTTATGCTTTCTTGCTACACATTTTTTATTTTCGATTGTTGCTGCTCCCTGCCCCACACACTTAGATAAGGGCGTCCCCAACAAGGGTGCAAAACGCTAGCAAATAATATATTTTAGTCTAGGTGGAGGAAAAAGAATGCAAAATTCACAGTCGCCAGCGAGATGTCAAGCGCTATGCTCGCACGGAGACCAAGTAACTCACAATCTATGAACTTGTGGCCCTCCCTTTCTTTTACTATGTGCAGCAGGCATTTTCTACTTTGTTTACTCTCTCTCTCTTCCACGTTGCTGGCGATTTGCATCACTCCGTTGGGGACGCCCTAAGTTGAAACTTGAAAGTCATTGACCTTATATGTGTATCTGAATTTCCGTGGTTGCTCCCTAGCTGTGGTCACCAATAATTCAATTAGTTATGTGAAAGCTCTTTTACTTGGCATATATTTCTGACCCAGTGTAACAATTAGCTGGTAGACAATATATGCAATTGCCTCTTTTGTTTGATATCTCATGTTTATAATTTTGGGTGAAATTTGGGTGCACACGTAAAAAAGAAAAAAAAAACTCCATGTTTTTGTCTAGATAGCCATGTGAGCATCATTTGGAGTTTTATATTTATTAGTCTAAAACTTGTTTACCTTACATGTGTACCTGATTTTCTTGGTCCCTCTAAACATAATAACTCTTTACCTCTCCTGTTTGCAGTGCGATCGAAGAGAACTAATCATCCAAGGAAGGTCACAGTGCTTTTGCCTCTACCGGTTGCAGTGGAGTGATGATTTACATGTATCTGAATCCTCATTTACAACTGAAGTTCAGTACTCTTTTAGTTTGCCTGTAGCATTATATTTCTACTCTAATTGTTGCGGTATATTTGGATCGGCATTCTAAGGGCCTGTTCGGCTGGTATTAAAGCCGGCTGAAGCTGTTTTGTTGTGAGAGAAAAATACTGTAGATTCTAGCTGATAAGCCGGCTGATAAGTTCAAGCGAACAGGCCCTAAGCTACCCGCTATAGTGTTCGGTATGGTCATGAATTTTGATCTTGAACTGTAATTAATGTGCATGTAATGTATGACCGGATAGAACCATAATGGCTACTCTATAGCTGAATAGAACCATAATGGTTGCGATGGCTATACAACCTGTGTTGTTTGCGAATGCTTCATGACGTGTGCTAAGTATCGTATGATATCTCTTTGCTCTTGTGCCACGGCCCACAGTAATAATGAATATGTGCTTACTATCTTAACTGTATCCATTGATAATATTTTTTTTCTCAAATCATTGTAGGGCGCCCGAGGGGCGCCTGATGTTCTAGTTAGTTGAATGGCCACCAGAAAAAAAAAATCCACTGCAAAGATTATGTGATGGAGAAGTGAGGATGAAGACTCCAATGCCCGTTTAGGTAGTACTTGACCCTTGTTGCACACGAACAGAGGTGTCGCAAAAGTTTTTTGGTCGTCAGGAACCTGCATGTTGTGATTTTCACAAATTGCATACCATGGTGCCTGTCATTGTCAGGCTTGCATTGGAAGATGAGGAGTGGCGAATGTTTCAATTTCTGTTGCCAAGTTGTAAGCCAATTTAATGGCTTTGAAGTACTTTTGTAGGTAACCAATTCAAGGCTTTGAACCTATGATCATTTCGAGATTTTCGGAGGCACCACATGATTGAAAAAATCTGATTTATCGTGACCTAGATTTGAGAATGCTGGATCAAGGTAGCAACCGGTACTCCCGGTCCTGAGGAAGGAAGAGCATGACATCTTAGACCCACCGACTGAGGCAAACCAAATAGCCCTTGCAAAGCTGCACTTGAAAGACAAGTGAGCATCATTTTCAATTAACCTGTATTGTGAACAAGTTCCTGCTATGCTTGGAATTATCCTGTGAATTCGACTAACGGTGTCTAAATCAAGCCTTAGCAACCACCAAGCAAAAGTCTTAAGTCTAGGTTGCATAGTTTTATTAGCCTAAACTGCCAAAGAATATGAATAACCTAAGACGAAATTGTGCTTAATGCTTTGTTTTTCGTTAGAGGGAAATGTTGCGAATGGATGGAGATTGTTGTTCAAAAGAATGGGTGCATGCATGCGCGTGTCCTGGCCAAGATTAACTCACCCTTAGAACGATGGACTACTTTATTTTTCCAAATTTAGTTTGGATTGAGATTATTAGTGTGAAAAAATTCCTACGTTCGAACGGTGGATTGAAATTGTTAGTTTCTTTCTAAGTTTTGCATTAGAACTGTGCAAAGGTTTATTTATATCTAGCGGTCGAAAGCCACAGGTGAAGAATGGGTAAAAAAGTGTGCGATGTTGTACTGCTAAAACAGCTGCGATGCAGCATTGACCAATGAGATCTCGACACCAGCTTGCCACCAACTTACCAACCAATCCTAGGAAAGGAAACTTGAAACCAGTATAACCTTCTTATAATCGCGCACATGGCACACGAGGCGGACAGCCATGGAGCACCCCAACAAACCGATCACATGTCGCCCAGGCATCCCCGCTCCACACACCACAGCAGCAGGAGCAGCAGAGCACGGGCACGGCCGCCCCGCACGGTATCCTTCGGTCGCTTCACCCCAATCTAGAAAACGGATAGGACACGGACGTATACACTGATATTATATTTATTTTTTATATTTCTATCTAGATTCAAATTTAAATACGGATAATATCAACCATATTGGATATGATATAATTAGATATCAATATCATAAATATGCGATTTAAATATATAAATACGGTATCGGATGTTGAATATCCGGACTCGATATGGACAGATTAAAACCCCTCTATATGAATTCGGTCTCGAATGCGATCAGAAAATATCTGTATTCCTGCCCTGTCCACCGCCACCACCCACCACCAGATTTCGCCGGATCTCCAGCCCACATGTGGACGGACTCCGCCGAGAGCTGAAGAAAAGAGCTTGGCAGCAAGCATATCCGTCTCGCTCTCCGAGGTCCACCACCACGCTTGTTCTCCGCTTCCCCAGCCCGCCACCCTCATTTTTATCCCACTTGCTCGGCGCTGCCCCCATTTTTATTCCTCCCCGCGCCTCGAACCCCACCCCACGTCCCCACCACCGCTCTCGGAGTCTCGGCGCTATAGCTCCGCCTCCGCTTTGCTTGCCTCCTCAGTTTTCACCTTTTTTTCCCCCTCTCATCAGTCTCAGCGTCTCCCAGACGGACTCACATTGGGGGCTCTGCTTTTTGAGTTTTTTTTCCTGCATGCAACAGCAACAAGTGCATACTCCTCCCTCCCTCTTTCCCCGCCCCTTCCTCCTCCCGCTTCGGATTCCCAACCCCAGCAGCTCAGGCTCCCGCTCCCGCTCCCGCTCCCCTCACAGCACCAGCCCAAAACCCTAGCCACACCGCCCACGCATGGCCTCACCCGCGCGCCCCGCTGCCGCCTCCGTCTCCGTCTCCGGCGCCTTCGGCCTGCCCCCGGACGTGCGCTGCTCCTACGACCAGCCCCGCCGCCGCGAGGTGCCCGCACTCTGCTCTGCTCTGCTCTCGTCGCTATCTCTTGATTTCGAATTTCTTCCCTTCCCTCGGCGCCTCACAAACCGACACCGCGCCGCCGCGCCGGGCACGGCTTGCAGGACGAGAGGCTGGTGCGGACGTTCGTGGCCGCCTACGGGCATCCGCCGCAGCAGCAGCAGAACGGCGGCTTCTACCCCAAGGACGCCGTGATGGCGGCCGTGGAGGAGGGCATGCGGAAGCAGGCCGACTCGCTGCTGCACTCGCTCGACGGCATCGGGGGCAGGCTCTCGCAGCTCGAGGTCTACTGCTACAAGCTCGAGAGGTCCATCGGGGAGCTGCGCAGCGACGTCATGGACTACCACGGCGAGAGCACCGCCAACTTCAGATGCATCGACAAGAACCTCAGACAGGTAAGCGTGTGCGTGCCTGCCTTCTCCGTGGATCCCGGTGCGCCAGTTGGCTTCTGTTCTGGAGTAGTAATGCCGCCGAGTAATGGCAGACAATGACAGTGCGATTTGGATTTTCACTTACTATGTTTGATGTACAGTGCTTCATAGACTTAACTGATTGTTTATTTCCCTGAAAGTGAAAGCTAGTACATTCAGTGGAGTCAACTTACGGTTCCCGGAGATGAGATTTGTCTCACTTGGTTCTGAGACTAACAGCTAGCATCTTTGATAACCAGATCTACATTTTGGTTGCCAGGTCCACAAATCCTTGCAGGTTCTCCAGGATAGGCAGGACTTAGCTGAAACTCCAAAAGAACTCAGCAAACTTCAACTAGCACATGATGCGCCCTCTCAGAAGGGTGAGGCCACTGGTTTTTCCATGCTCGCGCCAAGGGAAAATGACCACAGCAGCACACAGGCTCCAAAACACGAGGTCGCACTTTTGCCGCTTCACCAAGTTAACGGGATGCAGTCCCCTGCTGCCCTGCACGTCCAAACCAGCAACGGGTTTGTTCTGCAGCACCTGGTGCCTGTCACTTTGAGCACGCAGCATGATCAGCAGCAGTTGAACCAGGCTCCTGTGTACTATGTGCAAAGCCCGGATCATGCTAAATCCACCGAGAGCAAGGCGGTGGAACTTTTGGTTCAAGTTGTGCAGCCACTTGTTCACAACCCTGAAGCCATGGTTCAAGTTGAGCTACCTCAGAAATCTAGTCAAGCAACTGAATTGTACCCTCAGCCTCAGAGTCACAGACTACAGATGCCTACCCAGCAGGTTGATTCGCATACATGGCATCCCCAACAGCCCATGGTGCAACAGCAGCAATACATTATTCAGCAAGTTTCACGACATATGGCTCAACAACAGTCCTCATCTCCTCCATTCAGTTCCCCAAAGCCTGCCAGTTCTAACACTGAGCCAATTACAAGAAGTGTGGCTGGGCAGACTCCATACTCTTCATCGCAGCAGCAGCAGCAGCAGCATGAAGTTGCCCATTCATTTTATGGCCAAGGCAATACAGTATTGCTTCCTGTAGCAGATCATAATGCTCAGCATCAGCAACCACAATCAGTGGTGCAGCTACAGAGCCAGGGCCCCTGTCCACCTCAACCAAGCAAGCCCAGTCACTGCAGTGTTGCATCCTTTGCTGTTCAAGGAAATGGCCAGACCTACAGCTCCACATACAAGAACCCTTCTAACTGCCCTGCAACTGTTGTAGCTCTTCTGCCTCAGCCTCCAGCTACTGCTTCTATGGCGTATCATCCCTTGGGACCACAGGTCGTGCACAATCATCCATTTAGAAATATGGTTGAAACGGCTAGTGTGGTAGGGTATCCACGGGATCAAATTGAGATACTCCCAGTGGTGACTGCAGCCCAACCTGTAATGGTTGATAAGCTTAATGCTGGCAGCAATGTAACATCCCCTCGTGAGTGGTCAGCATAGTGGACAATGCGCGATGGTACATTTCACTGCTTCCACAACTTACTACTATACATATACTGCAGTTGGAAGCTCATCAGGTCTATTTTATCTGGCTCCTTTTTTTCCATCAGCCAGCAGATTAGAACAGGTCCTTCTACCTTTTTCAGCTGAAGGTCAATCTGAAATAAGAAAAGTAGGTTAGCTGAGTCATCACTGTTGGCATATGTCCTCACTTTTAATGGACATATCTCCTTGTAACCGAACTTATATGCCTTTCTTATATGAATATATGACGGGTTTACATCAGCTTGTCAGATGTTTGCTAGGTAACATTAGTTTTTAGCTGCTGCTGCTTTCTCACAGAATCTGTCACGCTTGATCTAGTTGGTTTTGTGCATGGCATGAAGACAGATATACTGTGAAAATTTTGATGCATTTCATCTCATCTACTTTTCTTAGCTTGCTCTACCAAACACAGAACAATGCTCGCTGCAGATTTGCAGAATGCAAGTGCTACGGTACATCAGAAATAGTAATGCTGAAAACTGGTTATAATTATTTATGAAATAGCAATAGTTCTCAATTGTCATTGCATTAGAAATTGAGAATGCCTCTGAAGCTTAGGGTTGTCGGAACTACCGATATGTGTGATCTCCATACATTACAAGTAGAATGTCCTTTTTTTTTACCACGCTGTCCTTCTAAATGCAGTTTAAAAGTAGAATGTCCAATTTTTCTTTACAACGTTGTCCTTCTAAATGCAGTTTAAAAGTATTGATGTACATTCTTGACTGAAAAATAATATGTTTTGAACATACTATTCGGTGATTAAGGCCATCATCCCATCAATCAAATATGTCGAACATAATATTCCTCTCGCTGATTGCTGAACATAAGTCACCAACCGATACCATTACAAAAAATATATACAAGCTAGTCGCCAAAATTGCTGCAGCATAAATAAAATAACTGAATCTTCGTTTCATCTAGTTTGATCTCTGTTACATAAAGAATAGCAATTAAACAGACAAACAAGCAAATCATACGATGGGCCTTCTGGAGCTGCTGATAACTTTCACCATTCACATCGGATGCCATAATGTGACATGATACTCTTCTCAATGTCAAATTGAGTCAAATTGAGCTGGACCTTGCGACCATACTATAAACGCTGTTAGTTACCACTTACTAACATGTGTGTACTTTGGGTGTGTATTCGTGAATCTGTCATACTCCTTTGGTCCTTTCCTCCGTTTGCTGCTTTCTGCTTCCCGCTTGGATGATCTGTCCTCTCTGAACCCATTTGCAACATCACTACTGCCTGAGGCATCAGCCTTCGACTTCTTTCGCGATTTCTGTTTTGATTTTGAGGACTTCCGTTTTTTAGATGGTGACGAACTAGTGTCCTCGGATGTGGATTGACTATTTCTGGGCAATGGTTCATCCTCATTTATCACATGCCAATTATACACTGCATCATTCTCACTGTCAAACCGTTGGGTGATCGGTTCCCACTGTTCCGCCAGCATATCTTCATTGTTCCAGCCTTTCCGATCAAGGAGAACTGAATCTGGTCTGACAATGGTACCCAGAATGCTCCTATTATGTCCCAAACTTACAAGCGAGTTTGCATCAGTTAACACAGAGTACGCCTTGGAAAATGCTGATTTCACCTGAAAAAAAGGGGATTTATTCAAGGTTTTCTTATGTCGAAAGATTCCAGAGTAATAGTATCATTGCAAAAGACAAAATGAGTTAAAGCATCAAACAGTTCCAGTATCACGTCCACAGCATCAGCAACATGCACTGCAGAAGCATGAGTAAAAAATCAACAGAGTAATTACCTTAAAGTAGTTAAAGGAATTCTTTCCGATATCATTATCTGGTGCCTGGACATCATGAGTTGAATGAGTTAATCAATTGCAACTCAAGATCTTCAAGTTAGATGAAAAAGAATGGACAGGTATTTACCATGGGATCCTGAATCGCTAATAGATGTGGCCGATCATGATTCATAAAGCTACAAAAGCATAATAAAAGAAGAATCAGAGAAGCGCAGAAATAAACTAGTATAAAAAGGTTAGAACCTGGAGAGACTAAATAATTTCGCCCTACCACCTGACAAGTTCTCCAATTATTAAAGGAATTAAAGAAATTCACATATCTCTCTATTGCTAGTCTACAAACACAACAGAATATTTTTAAACAAATGAACAAACTAAATGAAAGCAAGATATGTTGCCAGCTCGACAAAATTTGCAAGTCAATAATCAGTGAGTTGTCTGGCATAAGTTCATCTAGTAAATCATCAGCTTACTCTTTATCACTCTTCAAGAAAAAGGTCCTTGAAGTATTGCATGATATTCCAACATCCCAATGGTTCAACTTCCGTCCATAAAAATAAAAAAACCTGACCTGCCATAAAAGAGCAGGAAAATATAAAGGGGTGTCCTTTGACTTTTCTTCACTGTCACAAAGAGAAATCTCAAGGGAGAATGAAACAAGAATTTCAAGGTAGGAAAATAAAGCTCACATTTTGCAGTGAGCCAATATGAAAATATTCTGAGCCTGAAACAATATAATAACAAAAGTATCACTTACCAAAAGAATTCCCAAATTGTGCTCCTTGGACTGATGATACCCGAGAATATCTTTTCCTCCCCAGACCAACTAAGAACAAAAAACACAGTGGTAAATGATTTATTAGAAAGAATGAATTTGCAGGGCCACAAATAATATGGAACTTCAGAAAAGCAAAGAATAACACTACAAGTGAAGTACAATGCAGCTGAAATAGTTGTGTTACAAGTGTTTAGAGCTAAATAATTCAGTTCTATTAATTGAACTTCAACATTTTTTAGGAAAACATAAACAGCAACAAAACATCATCTTTGCTTTCAACCATCGGATTATAGGTTTATACAAGTTTCAAATATCAACTCAAAATCCTGTTTGAAAGATCATAAGGAAAAGGCTTTCCAGATCAAAAAGCAAAATCCCATTTCACCTGTAGATGTGTGATCAACATCGTGAGAAGAGCATATGATCCAATTCCACCGGTATAGACCTACCAAAAAAGTGTAATGGTTGTTAGAAGTTTGGGTCGACACAACAATTCAAGATAACCACCTTATAATTACAGGAGTAACAAGTCACTGACTTTTGTTCAATTGTACCTCATTGAGCTCTCTCTGATGCAGAAAAACTTTCAGAATCATACATAAAGGTCTTAAAGCAGGCAACTTCTTCACAGCATCCTACAGTATAAAATGGAAAAGATCATTGTTGTAGTCCAAAACAATCAGGTGAGCCAAAGTACATGTTGAACATCTGCCACAGATTAGCTTCAAACAGAGTACATGCTGCCTCCGTTACTGGAGTAGTTAGTTTCCCAGTTGAACAAGTACCTTGATGAAGTCTGCTGCCTGCGGCCCACCATCTATATCAAAGCTGGAACAGAAAAGGGAGATTATTAACAGAGAACTGGGACAACAGAAAAAGAAGTCGAGTATTAGTCTGAGCAATGAAAACAAAACTGCACCTGATGTCAAAAGCTATTCCACTCTTTCTTTCCACAAACTTCACAATTGGCACACGTGCCTTTGCTATTACCTGACACAAAAGAAAAACAGTAGTCCATTGACAAAATAAGCAACTCAGTAACTAATAGTTGACAAAGTGGCAATGTCCAATGTTCCAGACAATTGCATTTGGTCACTGCCGGTGCCGGACTACAGATTAGATTTGAGGTATCACGGGGTTGGTTCATTGTGGCATTGGCGCGTCAACTAGGGCTAGCAATTCAGCCTTCAGGAATGGGGATGGTAGGCAGATGGGCAAAACGCTTGGTCACTGGCCAAAAGGGAGGGGAGGGGAGGGGAGGGGAGGGAGGGAGGGAGGGAGGGAGAGGAGAGGGGAGCGGCGCTCAAGTGCCAAGACACGAAACTGGACTGATTTATTGGGGATATTGAACCAGTTGGCACTGGTAGTTCGGGGGATGGGAGGGGGGGATTTGCCATTTTGTGAGTCAGGTGAATGTGAGAAGGATTAGGGGGGCCATGCTAATAGTGGCAAAAAATTCAATGCCCAGATTCACTGACTCAAGCCTGGCCTCTCTTGCTCTTGCATTGCTAATTACTTACTCCTACCTACCAAATTAGGCACAGCAGCAGCGAGCTACTTGCTGCTGCAACTTACAAAACTTTCCGCTATCTCTAGCTTGTTTGTTTGCTTCACACTTCTCAAGTGCCTGTGCTGGTCACGAGATCCTGCCCGTGCTGCTCGTGCGACACGTTCGTCAGGCAGCTCAATGACACCAAAGGCTCCACACTTTACACCCTCCTCATCTTTCTAAGCCGCGCCATCGCTATCTTCTTTCCTGTGTGTTTCTCTGCTTCATATTGGAGGACGGCAATAGGCAGGTCGGCGGCCATGGGGGCCAGGACCAGCAATTTGCAACAAAGGGCAAGGGATATCATGGCAAAATTAAGGTATGACAGCCCTCCGCCATGTTCCCAACCAAGGTAACCAACCAGTTATCATCCAACGTGGTTAATTCAATTGGATAACAGCTGTGTTGTTTCTTTGATGAGAAAAAACGGTGTTTTGTCCTCTAGAAACTCTTGTTATGAGTAGTTTATGAAGCAGAAAAGAAACTCTCAGAGATTCTTGCACAATATTTAAAAAGAAGTGAGAACTGGACCTGTATTTTTTTAGCAACGCCTTTCTGAGACAATGCTTTTGCGAGAGCATATAGACCAACTTGAGGAGTCTTAACTCTGGACTCAAATATTACAACCTGCAACAACAAGCCTAATATGAACTTAAGCAGATAAAGGAGATAGGCATTTCATAAAAAAGAAGGTGCATGACCCTGTGTGTCCAGGTGAAACATGGGAAGTGCAAGTTTACAACAAGCTTAGGTGATGTACCCTAGAAATTTTCTTTATCAAATTACTCCATCCATGCCACTATGTTTGTCCATAGCACACCGGCGCACTAACCCAGTACGTGTTTCAAGAAAATTCAATGTGAAATGACTGTCCGTGCCCCTGTTAAATAATATGATACAACCATTTCTCTTTGTCCAAAGCACTTGATTGTGAGACATTCGCTCGAGGTTGTGGACAAACATAGTGAAACGGAGGGAGCGTTACAAAGAACAAACAAAATAGGTCTGCCGATATCGAATTAGCTAGTGCAAATACAAGGAATTTCTCTCCCTTGTACTAGGAGCAGACTCTTGTCTCTCCTTTGTATTCTTGACACGCAGCTCTCCTATGTCATTCGAGAAAAAAAGTACAAGGTGAAGATAGGTCCATACAAACATAGCATGTCCTTCTGACCTACACATGACGATATTGCTAGCATGAACTGACACATATTCCACTTTTCAGCTTCCCTATATGGCAGTTTTGTTGTTTTTTCTGCAATTGCAACAGCAGAAACATAGGATGGAATTCCACCTTTACCTTTTTCTGTTACTATATACTCCCCTACTATTTATTCCATTATCTCAATCATATTGTTACTTATAGTAATAGCACTTTCTACTGCTTCAAATTTGATAGTGAATAGTTATAGCTATAAGGACCTAAAATGAGCCGTTAAACAAAATTAGAAGACAAAAAACAAATCTGCAGCTCTTCTCCTTCATAGTATGTTAAGAGACTAATCCTATCTAACAAAGTAAGCACTATGATCCAGCAATTAATACAACACAATGGAACAGATAAAGTGAAGCACCAAGCTAGAAATATAGAAAAAGGAGGAAAGAAGAATGCTTACATCTATATCACTTGTTGGTAGATAGAGACCTGTCCTGAAAGATCCAAAAACTTCCACCTGCCATGCAAGAGTGGGAATCACCAAAATAGTTCACAGCTATTTGATACAAACTAGAGGGGAAAGAGTGTGATGCCTTGCACTGCGGCCAGATATGTTTGACAACATCAGAGACATCTTGCACAGCAGCTGTTCGTGAAGATTGCTCTTCAGTAGAAGGTGAGATAAAATCACAGAAGTCAAGAATCTCTGCAACAAATATACAGTATTTTAGTACTCCAATAGTCAAATTATCCATCACAAAACCATATATACATCTGTGAGTTTTTATTGATCTCAAGTTCTACTAGTTCAAGTGCTAAAGATAAATGTGATTTGAATGTCTGGATCAACTGCATAAGTAGCTTTACTATTTCTTAAGTATAATATCAGACTGGTCCTTGAGACTGTTGTCTAACAAATTCCAACAAACAATCAGCTCTATCGGAACCAAAAAAGGTGTTTGGCATCATAGCACTCTCTACACAGTTTCTGCATCCAAATACATGAAGACCACACTACAAGGTACTCCCTCCATTCCAAACTATACTTCACTTTAGCTTTGTCCTAAGTCAAACTTCTCTAACTTTGACCAAGTTTTTAGAAAAAAAAAACATATCTACAAGTTCAAGTAAATAAATGCACTATCAAGATATGTCATGGAGAATTGAATGCAACTATTTTGGCACTCTAGCAGTATATTTTTCTATAAACTTGGTCAAAGTTAGAGAAGTCTGACTTGGGACAAACCTAAAGTGAACTATAATTTTGAACTGTTGTTAGAGAGTTTTGTTCATCATTTATATCTGTTTGATTTTTAACTGTCAAGAAGAATGCCACTGCAATGCTTTTTAATCCAAAGCACCAAAAGCCTCATGCAGATTTCAAGTAGACATTAGAGGTTCCTGAAGCTCTGTGTGGCAACCTATAGTTTACCTATTCTGATTTATTTACTCAATAAAATGTGATCTTGAATCTGTTATATCTGATCACTTCACTCCATCAATAATTTAATGCCACAGCAGAGCAAAGTCTATTTAGTTGCGCGATAATTTAGACACAAGGGAAGCCACAAAATTCAAAACAATTCCAGAATTTAAGCTACCAAGTCCACTGAGCAAAGCACCAAACTAAAACCCTCACCCTTGTGTAGCTGAAGCATGGGGCTCCTGAACCGCCTCCCTCCTCTGAACCACGCGCGCTCCGACCCCTGCGCCGGCTGGTCCTTCAAAGCATGGGAGCTAGAGGGCGTCGCCGCCGCAGCGGCCGGCGCCGGGGTCCGCGGGGACGCCGGCTCGGGCTCGGCCTCGACGGAGTCAGAGGCAGGGGCGGAGACGTCGAGTGAGAAGAAGTCCGCGGCAGGGATGTCCGCGAGCGCATCCCCAGCCGCCGTTATCTCGTTGCGGAAGACGGCGTAGGTCGCGGTCGCATCGTCCTCGTCCTGCCCCGCGGCGGCGGCGGTGGGGGCGTCATCGAGTGCCTCCTCCGGCGAGAAGGCGAAGTGCAGGCCCGGGAGGGCGTCGTAGATGTATTTCGTGGCGGGGGGAACGGACGCCTCGGCCTCCGTCGCCATGGCGGCTGGGGCTGCTGGTGCTGGTGCTGTAACGGCTGCTTGCCTCGGCGGCGCGGGGTAGTAGAGAACGGCTCGTTTGCCCTTCCTCCCCCTCCTTCGCTTCCGCGCTGGCGGTGGCGGCCAAGGCCACCCCCACGCGTTCGTCGCTTCCTGCAGAGCCATGGATTGGGCTTCTGAGGCGCGCGCTGGCTGGAGCCTGGAGTGGAGCAGGCGGGCCGCGCAAGTTTGCTGCCGTGGGTTTCGGCCGTGGCCAGGCCTATAAAAGGAGTGAAGTCGTAGCTCTGCAGGATTCATCCGCGGCCCACGAAACGTACCGAGAGCGGACTTCTTCTTTTTTTCCTTTTTATTTGCTTCTCCTGTTTTTTTCCCTTTTGTGAGAGGGGTTCACGTTTTCTCCGAAAGCAGCATTATACAAAACACTATATAGGAAATAAATTAATTTGAGTAGTCATGAAATTCGTCATTTTGATTTTGAGTTCAAAAGAGGTAACTGAGCCATCTTGTATTTCACCCTATACTAGATAGCGCGTTCGTGTGTTCCTACGGGATAGGTAACATTTTTATACTAAAAACACACGAATCGCATGATAAAATAACAATACTGTAAAATAAAATACCAATGTTAAAGTGTCATTTAATCCAAAAAATAAAGTTTGTGAAATTAACACAATCACGGAGAGCATGGCGTCACATGCTCACAAATCTACTTTATAGGTCTTTCTATGATGCGGCTAAGATAATGTTTTATATCGATAGAAAGAAATATTCGATATTCATTTCTTTCGTACGCTAAGTTCTGTCGCATCTAACATCATGTTCATAGGTTCAAGTGTGTGTATATTAGTGTCAGTCGATTGAGCTGCGTGTTTTGAAAAATGTCCCACAGAAACTTAAAACAAAACATGTTATACTCGCATTCTCACAATCTCACTCCGCGGCTGTGCCTCCCTCTACCGATGAGGCGATGATGCCCCCACCCCACCGTCGTCGGCCTCATCCCCTCCACCTCCCTCGCCTGCGACTCCTTATTCTCCAACCGGCCGCGCTCCCTCCGCCATCGCTCGAGCTCGCCATGACGCCACTTGAGGTCGCCCCGGGCCGCTCCCCCTCCTCAGACCTCGGCCATGTCCCCTGCGCCGCAGCTCGATAACTCACCCGTCCGTGCCGCCGCTCAAGCTCGCCACGAGGAGCCCTGTTTGCTTCTGCACATGCAGATCCATCAATGCTCTTCGTCCCTTTCCAGCATGATTGATTTTTGTTTCATAAGAAGCATATTCCAGCATAAATAGGGGAGAATAAAAAAATTATGATTATGATTTTTCCGTACTTTTTAACTTTGCTATTTTACCTTTTTTCGTGTCTTTTGAAATTGAAGACACCGTTTGTCCCTACTTTACATATCGTTAATTAGATTTTGATTAACATTTTAAAAAATGGTAATATTTAGGATAAAATGAGAAAAGACCAAAGTACCCATAACCTTATCCACACTCACACGTACACCCGCTCTCCTCTTGCACACCCTCTTCGTCCCTCAAGGTGAGGATGCAGCGGAGTGTGCTGCGGAGATGAGCGGGCACGCGGGCACTCGCCCCCAAATCCCAGCCTCCTCTGAGTCCCCTTCCCGTCCCTCTCGCCTTCCTTTGCTCCCTTCGTCATCTCCGACGACGACGAGGTCGACAAGATCGTGGACCCCGACGGGGACTCCCCCATCGTCGACGCCCCCGAGGTCTTCTCCCCTCCGGCTCCTCCCGTGCGCACCGCTCCCGCTCCCCATGCTATCACTACACCGTCCCAGTCCCCAATGCCGACTCCACCTCCGGCCCGGACCCCAACCCCGACTCCGCCTCCGGCGCGGACCTCGGCATCAACAGCACCTCCGCACCCGTCCCCGCTGAGCGGGCGGTTGCGGCCGGTGGACGAGTACCTTCGGCTGCTCGGGTTGCTTCTGCGGCCGGACTGGCTCGAGTCCTGCACTGCGGCACTTTCCCCAGGTAATTAACCACTTTCCCTCCCTCTGTTTGTTCAGTTCCGCCAAAACGTATCTGTTGTTGTCTTTGCTAAAGGCTCTTGCGTTGCGGTGGGACGTAGTTGGGGATTTGGGAGTGGATGATGCCACCGGCGCCTTCTCTGTCACCACGTACGACGCAAATCACTGCCCTGGTAATGTGTCCGTTCTAATTATTCCATTTATGTCAGTGTCATAACTTTGGTAATCATAAGGGAGTGGAATTTACTTGTGGTAATTAGACAAAAATAATTAATTAGGAGCTTGTCGTGAATGCTCTGTGATTTATTTGATATGGAACCTAATAAAATGTAAATGTATTGTGATGATATCTCTTTGTGTAGAGAACATTTGTCCATTGTTCTGTTTGATTTGAGCTCAGTACGCTCATTATGTGCTTCTAGGAGTGAGGGATGGCTTATGCTTGGCCTGTTTGGTGATTTCAGGGGAAGTCAAGTTCTTGTTTGAGGGTCAATTTGGTACCATACTTCACACAGGGGACTGTCGGCTTACACCAGATTGCGTACAGAATTTGCCAATGAAGTACATAACAAAGAAAGGAAACAAAAACATTTGCTGACTTGACTTTGTATTCCTAGATTGCACCTTCTCCAAATGCTTCCTCAAGCTACCGAGCAAGGAGTCAGAAATCCGACATGTTGTTCTCTGTGCTGTGGTTAGAGATATTCTTTCCTCTATATACCTTGTAGAAGTGCTCTTCTGACTACATGGATAATTACAATTGAGAAATGATTCAGTGATTGCAGGTTATATCTTGCATAAGGAAGCATCCACATGCACCATTTGTTTTCCTTGCTTGTGATCTGCTTGGGCATGAATGCGGAGGCTCAGACCTGGCGGTGCCTCGAGCAATTCCTCTTCGCCGACATGATCTCCTGCGGGGCTGGGGTGCTGCCAGAGGGCGTTGGGGGCATGCATGCTGAGTTCTTGATGGCCCCTTTGTGCTTCAGGTTTGACATTGCATGATCCAATTAGGTGAAATGGTCACTATACTTTGCCCTGGTGAGCTATTTGCAATTGAGATCCATACTGTTTCTATGCTCCTACTGGTGATGAGAATGTTTGATCGAGAAAATAAGAAGTGAATTAAAAAAATGAATCAACTTTACATACTTAAATCATCTTCAAATTTATGATGAAATCCAAAGCAGTGCTTAAATCATCTTCAAATTTATCTCTCTGTACTTTTTTTTTCTGAACCGAGGATTTCCCATTTCCATTATCAAATGGAAATACACATGTCCGAGCAAGTGGTTAGAAACAAAATAGAGATAAAGGCCTATATCTGTAACCTAAGGCTACCACCTGACTCAACGCTAGGCAAAGCAACAAATTTGAAATTCAAAGTCAAGTTCTAACAGATTATCTACTAAGACACCAACTGTCAAGCTGCCACATCCGGGTGAAGACTCTGATAGTATTCTAGCAGTTTACAACCTTGATTCTTTTTGATACACCAATATGTGTCCCACTGTCTGGGACACGTTGAGTAATTTTTTGTCTTTCCAAAGATTGCTCCACTTTTGGTTTTCTACATATAGTTATTTTTAACCCAAAAGCAATGCAAAGTACAAGCAAAAATATGCCCCAACACTAACATACTACATGTAGTTCTTGTAGTTTCGCAGGCCCTTAATTATGTTTGGTCTTAATTTCTGAACTAATGTTTGGGCCGTGAGTTAAGATCCATGCTCTGAAAATAGTGATCCAAATAGCAAAATAGGAGAGAACATCTCACTCAGGATGTCAGATTTGTGCCTACAGGTGCTTATTGTGGTTTAAATCCAAAGATCCCCTTTTTACCTTCGATACAACTATTTCCGTTCTTTTCTCCATGGATATTGTTGTATATATATTTTTACCTTATGTCAGTTCTACAGTTTATGTTGATGTTGAGGGTGATATCGAAACTGTGGTCTACAATTACAGTGTTAATGACGAAGTCCAAAAACATACCTGAGATGAGAAGGCTCCACGGTGTTTGATGCGCATAGAACACGGGAAGAGAAGCCGTTGGTAGTCGCCCGCTCCCACGGTGGAAGAAGCTGTAGGTAGTTGTGGTCCACGTTCACGGTGGAAGAAACCGTTGCAAAAAAAACTCGGAAAGAGGAGAGAATATAGGGATCTCACCAGAGTGCTCAGCACGGAGGGGATGGCTGGCCGGTTTTTGTTATTTCCTGATTGCCGAGCGCTGGTGGAAGCTGTTGGCGGCCGGGTGATTCAGAGAGGCGGCGGCATGGGTGTTGCCTACGGGCGCTGAAGGAGACTGAAGGAGTCGAGTTTCTCGTCGTGTGCGCACTCGCGGATCGAAGACCAAGCGGGGAGGTGGCTCGTGGAACCGATGCGAACCTCGTTTAGTATTTGTTGCAGAGGAAGAGGAGAGGCAGGCTGCATGAATTTCGGGTGATCGTGATCTGATGAGGATGCTGTGCGGAGGGATCATGGCCCTGATTTGCTTTTGCATGTGGGCCGACCTGCATGATTTTCGGGTGATCGTTATCCGATAACGATGCTACGTGGGGATCGTGGTGCTAATTTGTTTTGCATGTGGGCCGATCGAGCGTACGGACTACCGAGCGGGATTTGTTTTGCATGTCCCGGCGAGATTGCATGTGGCGCTTATTTGTTTTGCATGACACGAAATTCTGGTGATTAGACATGAAGGGCTGATTTGTTTTGCATGTCCCGAAATTCTATTGATTGAAGGGAAATGAGAGGGAGGTGTGGGATTGCTGTGCGGAGGGGCTTTTGCATGTGGGCCGAATTGATGTTGCCTTCTTTTGCATGTGGGCCGACCTGATTTGATTGCTGATGAGGATGCTGTGCGGAGGATTATGGGGATAACGATGCTACGTGGGGATCGTGGTGCTAATTTGTTTTGCATGTGGGCCGATCGAAGCATTTGTTTTGCATGTCCCGGCGAGATTGCATGTGGGTGACACGATTCTGGTGATTGCATTGCGGGAAATGCGTGGGATCGCAGAGATGGGAAGAAACAATTTGCATGGCCCGATGGATCAAGGAAAAACGACCCAAAACAATTGCAATTTGTTCGCATGAAAAAAAATGTCAATGTTTTGTTCTTTTTAGTTGTAATTGTATTGTATTGTATAGGAGAAGGAGATATCCCTAGACTAGACCGATTGACCTCATCAAGTCATCATAGGTGCAATGGACCATGATCCATGAATAAATCATGAAGAGGGACCGGGAGTGCAATAGCTCCATGGGGAGGCCCAACCGCCCTCCAACTCCCAGGCCCGACACATCTGAGATGGCATCCCGTGGAATGGATCAGTCATCAGTGCGTGGGAGCACTGCGTACAGCACAAACACCCACTTGGTCGCTTCATGATCTGTCCACGTTAAATCGGTAATGCTGTTTAACCCCGTGCTCACAAAACAGTCTCCACTTGGCGATCGGCGAGCCAGCGAGAGCTAGCCGAGAGCGACGCGCTATCAACAACGTGGCACGGTCAATTCGCCGGCGAGAGAACGAAGTTGCACGGCCAAGGGGCACTGAGGGCCGGAGCGTCAAAATCGGCGGCGGCGGCGAGTGCGGAGCAAGAGCAATGCAGATGGCCGGAGACCCCAAAGCAGAATCCCACTTGCTCGCTTCTTTTTCAGTTTTCCTTCACGGCGAGGGTGCCCTATAGGGCAATAGGCGGTGCGGCCCCATCAGATTGGACACTGATGAATATGCTCTCGCCTTTGTTGTGCGCTCGTGATGGACGGGATTGTTTTTCCCGTTGGCGCCGTGTGTTGATTGAGCCCTGATCCGGCGTTCCCGCGTTCCCCGCGCTAAGCAACCCGCGGGCAAGAACCGGCAGCAGCATGCGCAAAGCGGCAAAGGCGCCTGCCGTGCCGGTTTTGCGCTGCGTTGCCACTTGCCAATGCTTGCAGGCGAATCGAATCGCTCTACAGGCTGCCTTTTTTCGGTGCATGTGAACAGGGCAAAGACCTGCGCACTGCCGTTTGCCGCAATTGCTTCTCCGGGCCGGTTCTCCCAGAAATCCAGAATACAGTGGCTTTATTATACTCCTACTAGGTTAACTTGTACTGCAGTATTTCTCCTAGGTTAACTTGTGCCATGTGGTTCCGATCCTGGATCGACTAGAATCCGCGTATCTGCACGGAGCATTCCATCGGGCTTTGATCTGGTTTTCAATGTCCAGCACAAATATCTTACGCCCAAGCGGCCAAGCCTAACATGGGTGATGCTCGGACCTCGTCAACTGAATAGATTTTGATTTTTATAGCTGATTGATGGTAGTATAAAGGCAGCTCCAACCATCGACTTTTAAACTAGCTCTAAGCATTTTTCTCATATTTTAATAGGAAAGGAGAAAAGTTAACTCTTGATCAAGGGCTAAACTCTTGCACATATTTCAAGATTACGTGAGAGTGTTATTGGGCTATTCATTTTAAAACATATATGTTAAAAGTTAGCTTAGAGCTAGTAAACCCTTTCTCAATGCTAGTAGCCCTCAGCAGTGGCTTTAAGGTTCAGCTAGGTTTGGATGCCATGTTGTACAAGAAGTAGGTGCTCTATATGTGTCATAGTTATCTGCAGAATCTACATATATTTAGGAGAGAGAAGATGGTCCATGCAAGATAAGTAGAGGGAGAGAGAGATAAAAGTGACAAAAGGTGAAAGAAAAAAGCAAGGTGAAGAACACAAGTAGAAAAGGCACGGTGATTTGCATTGTGTAAATAGTGGTCTTAATATTTTTTAGTTTGTATAGATTAGTTTAATTGTACTGAGACCACGAGCCTACATTAAATGTGCCCTAACTATCTCTAACCATGGTGGGTGGCCTAAGCGGTCAAATGAACGGGAATTCCGTGCCATGCCCATACGTAGCCAGAGTCCCATGGATGGAGTAAGATAACAGCTATGAGCAGCTCCACGTTATCATCCGTGTAGTAACCGTGTTCGATCCATCGATTAACTAAGCGCGTCAACGTCGCCAAATCTCAGCTCCGAAGTTTACACAATATTTCCTCTCGAATCTTGGGGCCTCGGCCACCTGCGCGTTGAGAATTCGTCGCATCGAAGCCGCTTTCTCAGAGTGGGACGGGTTGGAATTACTCATGCAAACAAAGATCTCATACGGTCATGGAGCCATCAACAAGTTTATCATCCTCATCCAATGCGTTAATCTCTCATAGCAGACACGTAGTATATTTGTAATCTTGCGACCTGTCTGATGTATAGACAGCCTGTTCGTTTGAACGTGGCTTGTCGTAAATGATCGTAAATTTTCAGCTGAAATATTATTTTTCTCTTACATAAATTAACCAGCAGTACTTCTTCACGAACCAGCAACGAAACTAACCAGCCAACCGCTAAGGGAAGGAACGATTCTTCAAGGAAAAATAGGTATGAAAGGGTTAATTGATGTGATGTGCCTAGCTAGCTGCTCTACTCGTAGGCCGTAGCTCTCTCGTCTTGCGAGAAATGTCAGGTTATTTGTACATATTTTTTATATGTTCGTTTGTTTATTTTAATTAAGGTTTATCAGTCAGTGAACAGTATTTTTTTCATAGAAAATCAGCATCAACCAAACTTATTAGTTCAGAAACCAATCAGCGAACATGCTGTTTATTTGAAATCAGATCCAGGTCAATCACATGGGTGTCTTTTTTTAATCCACATGCGCCTTTTTTTCTAAAAAAGAGAGAGCCTAGTATAGTGATAAAAGTGCCTGTACTTTCTGTTGTTTCGTTAACAATAGCACCGTCACACCACCGTCCTGAAATGACAACCTGAGCCGATCATGGTTGCATGCATCAGTACCAGTTTGGGCAAACATTAGATGAGCAGATGAGGTTGTTCAACTACCTTCCAGATCCGGCGTGGCGAAGAAGGAAACTCCGGGCTGCGTTCGTTTCGCTGAAAAAACAAACCGAAATACTGTTCCGACTGATTTGTTATGAGAGAAAAATATTGTTTCGGCTAAAAAAACAAGCTGAAAAAGACAAATTATAAAAAAAACGAACAAGGCCCGGGTCCAGTGAACTGTCGCTTTGCAAGGACTGCTGGATCATTTCTAGCGATGATTGATCACCGGAGGAGCTTTAT